GAGCTCTTAACCAACTGAGCCACTCGGCCAGCCCTCCCCACTCCTACTTCTGCTGTCTCTGTCTTTAAGCTGTGGAGTCATAAGCAGGCAGACAGCAGGGAAAGCCTCACCCAGAAGGGTAGGTGCAGCTAACCACATTCCCCTTCTCTCAGCTGTTGGGGTCTGGAGGTAGGTACCCTGGCCTGAGGATGGAGGAAAGAGAATTCACGTTATCTTTCTGTTTCAAAGAAAAAAGAGGGTCTGTCTAGAACCATAGAGGTTGGCTAGAGCCCAGGGGGTTGCTGGGCATGTCTGGGCAAACTGCCTGACCCAGGAGGTGGTGCCCAGCCTATGAGGGGGAGGCAGCCTTTGACCACCCTCTTGGGCTGCCCATGGGGTGATCAGAACTCCTTCTAGGAGATGATGATGGGGTGGAATCATTCTGTGTTTCAGAGGGGAAACCACAGGCCCAAGAGATGACAGAGGGGTCCAAAATCCCCCCAGCTGCTTAGAAGTAGCAAAAAGGAGTGAGGATGCATCTACACCAGCTATTGGGGAGTCAACCAGGAAACACTTAAAGACAAGGCTGGGCAAATTTGGGCATGCAAATAAGTAGGACAGCCGGTTTACTGATCAGCTTTGTCCTCGTCTGGGGGCCCCCGAGGCCACAGCCTCAGGCTCCTTGTCCTCTGCAGCCTCCTCCGCCAGGAAGGTCCGTGCCAGCTGCTCCAGGTGCTCCAGGCTTATCCTCTGCAGGCGCTCCTCGTGCTCCTGCCTCAGCAGCCAAAGCACGGCCTTGGCGTCCTGGGGCCCAAAGTGTTTGGCGAGGACCCGGGCCAGCTGGTGCCACAGGGGCTGGGGCTGGGGCTGGAGGGCCTCCTCAGGCGCCGTCTTCTCCAGGGGCTGCATGATAACACTGATGGAGGCATTGGGCCCGATGCAGTAGTCTGACAGACACTTGTCATCAGCCAGAAGCTGGCCACGGAACAGCAGGTGCTGCTGCTCCGCAGGCACCTGCAGTGGCTTCGACACCAGCTTCTTCAGCATGGCCACGCTCTCCTGCCCAGACACGTTCAGGCTGCATCTCCGGCCCAGGAGCAGCTTGACCGTGAGGAACATGGAAGCCAAGAGTGGATTCAGGAGGGATCCATGCTCCGGCGGCTGCCCTGAGGGTTAAGGGACCTGCAGGAGGTGGCTTCTCCCTGTCAGTGGAGGGTGGTGGCCCCAGGAGGTCCAGGAGGGCAGCCATTGGTTGTGCACAGTGATGTCACAATGCTGCGGGGCTCTAACCTTAGGGAAGTTAGAGGGACATTTGGGGCACAGAGCTCCTTCCTCTGTGGAAGGAGGAAGGAGGGTGGAAGAGAAGAAAAGGGGGGGGGTTAGGAAAGAAAACAGAGGATGGGGAGAAAGGAGAGGGAGATTGAACATGGGAGGACCCAAAAGGACAGGGTGGCCGAAGGAACCACGTCTGTGTTGATGAGTTCAGCAGCTCTGCCAGGACCCGTCCTTGAGGAGGTCGTATCACAATGGATACTTTCTGTCCTCATGAAACTTTCCATCTAGTGAGCCGGCTAACATTTATCAAGTGTCCTTCTTCACACACTTACACACTCTCATGGATTGGGTGTCCAAGAAGCAGACCCTGAGGCAGAGATTTGAGTGCACAGATTTAGTTGTAGTTAGTTGGGAGATAACCCCAGAAAGCACCAGTGGGGGATGAGGAAATGAGACAAGGAAAGGAGGGAAGCCCAACTGCACTAATGAGCAGGTTGCCTTTGAGGGTCACTGGGAGCCTTCCTTCCTGCTGGGCACTCTGAATGGCCGCAGGGAGGCAAGGAAGCTGGATCTGTGGGCGCCTGTCCTGCCTTTGGTTAGTGGGGTACTGACTCCTTGGCCCCTGTGGTCCGTCCGTGTGCAGAGCAGGCTTCTGTGAACAAAGGCTACCCTTGCGCAGGAGTTCGCAAAAGCGAGCAGTAAGAGGCCATCAGGTTTTAAGGAACGTGACTGCTGAGGGGTCAGGGCTGGGCCACCACTTCTCCACATTGCCTTGTTCAGTTCTTGCGACCTCTGAGGTAGATACTGTCATTTTCTCTACAATGAGGCTCGTTTAATCATCCAGCAAGCAGGCGGTACAGCTCGTGTCTTCCCCATCCCCATGTCCTGCCTCCTGAAACCTCTGTTCAGTGCCCTGTGTGTGCCAGGGTGAATGAGGAAAGGAACATGTATGGGGACGCCACCGTGTAAGCAACTTCGATTGCACAGGCAGTTGTTGGTTCAACTTGTTGACGATCTCCCTTTATAAATGCTGACACATGTAACCTTTGAGGAAGGTATTGTCTCATTTAAAAACGAAGGGCCGGCCGAGTGGCTCAGTTGGTTAAGAGCTCGCTCAAGAGTTTGAGCTCTGAGCAACAGNTCATTTAAAAACGAAGGGCCGGCCGAGTGGCTCAGTTGGTTAAGAGCTCGCTCAAGAGTTTGAGCTCTGAGCAACAGCGGTTCGAGTCCAGCCTGAGCTGAGCAGCTGCTGAGCTGCCAACAGGTAGCAGGATGGCTCAGCTAAAAAAAAAAAAAACGAGTGAGCATGGAGAAGACCTGGCCGAAGTCCCACAGCTGGTGGGGTGATTTTGTCAGGGATCCTCTCACCTCTCCCCAGCTTTCTGTGCTCAGCCAGCAACCACCTCTCCTCTCATCTCCCTCCCCACCTTCCTTCTTTCCCCTCCGGCCTGGACTACACTTGAATGATACTGTTGCCAACATCCCTGGACTTTCCAGACATTGCCAGTCCATGGTAACAGACCCTGATCCCCCACCTGGGGTCACTCCCACCTCCACCCCTCTCTTCTGGCCCTGGCAGCCTCGGACAGTGGAAGAAAACACCCACGGACACCACATACTTAGCTGGCCCTCCCCTCTCCCACCCCCATGTCCTCACTCTGGGCAGGTGACCCAAATCTAGTCCAGAGAGCAACTGCTCACATTTCAGGAATGCCCTGACATCTTGTCCGTTTTCCCACCTACCCGTGTGCTGCGCAATCCATCTGTGCCTTCCCCACCTCCCTGATCCTCTCCTCGCCTCTCCCCTATCAAACGAGCCCTCTTGTTAGTTCCATTCCCCAAAATCCACAGCCCCCTTATCTGTGGTTCAGGACTCAAGGTTCACCTTCTCCTTCCAGCCCCACCCCCTCATGTCCACTCCTGCCACAGCCAAAGGGGACTTCCTAAATCAAATGGAGGTCAAATCACTCCTTTGAGTGACATCACCCACTTTCATCCTCTGCTTTTGGAATCAAAACCAGCTCCTTGGCCTGGCCTCCAAGGGCAACCTGGCCTGGTCCTGCTTCTCCCAGCCTTTCTTGCGTCCTCCACTCCAGCCACACCGACCTGCCATTTCCTCTACTTACTTGTCCTATTTAACTCTTCCACTCATCCTTCAAAACGCTGCTTAAAGACCACCTCTTCCGTGAAGACTCCCCTGCTTTCCCCAGTCCTAGGTGGAGGTCATCCCACCTCCGTAACTTATGCAAACGTAAGTCCCCCTGAACATCCCTATGTGGATGCACCTAGCACACATCTGTGTCTCCCTCACTGACTCTCAGAGGCAGAAAGTGGGTCTCATCCATCTTTGTAGCCCTACCTCCCACACAGAGAACCTGGTACATAGAAGGCCTCAAAGCTATGTCTGTTGAATGAAGATAAAATCTAGACGTGCTGAGCCACGCAGGTGGGTGCAGGCTGTGGAAAGATATAAACCTGCCTACAGCTTCTCCCTCACGCCTCCCTTTCTCCCTTAGAGAGATGAAAATCCAAAACTACATTCAAAATAAATCAAAATGATCCCAGTCTTTACCAAAGGATCTTCCATAGTATTCTTTAAATAGCCAACTCCCTCGGTGCATTTGAAATAAGATAGAATTTGCGGATGTGCATACAGTGTGTAGGGGTCCCGTGGACTCCATGATGGCAAGGCGTCTGTGCAGAGGCAGCACAGGGAGCAGAGGATGGACGAGGTTTACCCGCTGCCATCTGGGAGCTCCCAGCCTCTGGATGGAAGGACCCTGTGGGGGACAAACGGTGGGATGAACAGGATTAAGGAACATACCATGGGAGGCACCCAGGAAGGCTTCCTGGGGAATGGAGGTTTGAGTCATCTTCAGCAGGAGATGAAAGGAAGGTGACATGAAGTGAGAAATCTGCCATCTCTCCCAAGCTGTGGAACTTTGGAGGAAAGCGGCCGGAGTCCTGAGCATGGAGGAAGATGGGAACCAGCCACCTGTCTCCAGTCTCCCCTCCTCAGGCTTGTCTGACCAGGACACCGGCAGCCCCTGGGGAAGACATGTTGGGTTTCTAGAAGCATGTGAGAGCCACAGCTCAGGTTTTGTCTCTCCAAGGCCAGTGGCCACGTGCAGGCAGCTTCCCCTGTGACACTGAGGGCCAGAGCTGCTCGGTCACACTTCCCAAATAAGGTTTCCTGGTTGAGAGAGTCCCAGTGTCCTAATGGACCATGAGGACAGATGCTTTGGAATTAGGGGTGTCCCAGGAAGCGGAGAGAGATGGTCACCACCTGTCCCCTGCCTCTGTGCCTGAAGCTCACATTGCTCTCTCCAAGGGGAACAGTCAGGGAACCTGGCTGGGCCCTCAAATCATATTTGGAGCTTGGAAATTTCATGATTTTCCCTATGTTATTATTGCTCACTTTAATTATAGAATTAGCATGAGAAAACGTAATTGTATAATCAGCCTATGCAATCAGACAATGATTGCCATAATTAGAGGGATGGTTAGCGGGAAGGAGTGGGCTTTGTGACTTGGGGGGAAGGAGAGAATGTGTGCAGAGAGAATGCTGGACTGTAGTGGGCTCAGACCCCTCTCTAAAACAACTGCAAATGCAACCGTGTCATGGAAACAAGCACAGTGTTGGGCGGGGGCCAGGGGAAGAGAGGAGGTGTGATGGGAGGGTGTTTTGGGACAGGTCTGTGAACACTTAGCTGCCTGCTGCTCTGGGCATTGCTACTGGGGGCTGACTGGACGTGGGTACATCGAGGGTGTGAACTCCATAGAATTGGAGCCAGGTGTCCAGCTGCCAGCCTAGGGCCTGCCTTGAGCAAGCTTGCTCCTCGAGTCTCATTTGCCTCCTCCATCTAATGGCAGCGTGGTCACTGCCAAACCTCCCTTGCAGGGTTGCTGTGAGGGCCAAAAGAGGCAGGTCATGTCCCCAGGACCTAGCAGAGTGTCTGACCCATAAAGACACTCAGTGTGTATTTATATAAACTTGTAAATGTGAGCTCTGTCACCCCAACTGTCAGGGAAGACCCATGGCACTGAGAAACATGCCCAAAGTGTGATCCCCCTGAGCCGGGGTGAGCTCTGCTTGCACAGGTAGGCAGGCAAAGCAGCCCTCTGCAGACCTGGCCAGCCAAGGAGCCAAGAAATGCTTGCTGACAGCTGGGTTCCAGGCTGTGGGGAGTCTGTGACCACTCCCGGGGCTGCATGAAAGGCTCGTCAGAAAGACCCATTATACCTCTGCCCACCTCACACCCTGGGCAAGTTTTCACATTATTGCACTTTAATAACACCAGGCTGGCCTTCCAGGGGAGGCTGCGGAGAAATGGAGGGACACTGGGAGAGAAACTGGTGGAGACAAAGTGAGCGGAAGACAGACAGAGTGACAGAAACAGTAGACAGGGGAGGGGGACGGAGAACAGGAAGACAGCACAGGAGACACTTAGAAAGGTGAGGAGTCCAGAGGGAGCGAAGGGAAGGGAAGAGGTGAGAAGGTGCAGAGCAGAGGAGCAGCACACCAGGCAGAGGAAGAAGTTATAAAAGGACACTGTGCCGGGAAAGGAAAGATGGGGAAGGAAAGAATCATTACTGGGAAAAAAATGCACAATGTGTCTGTAGGTCTCCTGCTGAGAACTGTGTCCTTCCTCCCCTTTCTGACAGTCTAGAAAAACTTCACGGGAAAACTTTGGCAGAGAAAGTGGAGTCCAGGAAGCTGTTCATTGACAGAGGGGTTGAGAGCCTGAACCTGTGGCACCCCTGCCTCCCCCATCCCATGCCAACCCCACCATTCACCAGCATTTACTGAGCATCCATGCCATGTGGGCACTCTGCAGGACCCT